TCCCGCGTTGTGGGGCTGGGGACGCAGACCCGCAGCAGCACAGCCTGGGCAGGAGAGGCTGGCGGGGCAGGCTCAGGGTGGGACCCCGGCCGCAGCCCTCAGTACTGCCTTTGGTTTTTTGTTTGTTCGTTTTCTTTTTATTTATTTTTTAATCCTCACCCAAGGATAGTTTTACATTTATCTTCAGACAGAGTGGGGGGGTGGGGGAGACATTGATGTGAGAGAGACACATCGATTGGTTGCCACCCGCATGACCCCAACCGGGGCCAGGGATGAACTGCAACCAAGGTACTTGCCTTGGCCAGAATCGAACCTGGGAGTCTCTGGTCCGCAGGCCGATGCTCTAACCGCTGAGCTGAGCCAAACCGGCCAGGATTGTTTGATTTAAATATTTTTTTCTTTATTGATTTTAGAGAGAGAGGAAGTGGGAGGGAGGAAGAGACGGAAACATTGATGAGTAAGAACATCGATTGGCTGCCCCCTGCATTCCCCCCACTGGGGATCAGGCCCAAAACCTGGGCATGTGCCCTGACCAGGAATCAAACTGGCGACCTCTTGGTGCAGGGTCGATGCTCAATCACTGAGCCACCCCGGCCGGGCTCCAATACTGCCTTTGGAAGTGCCTGGACACGCGGGGTGCCCCTGTGACCGCCAAGGTGAGCACCCTTGAGTCAGCTGACACGAGTTTCATTTGCCTTCCTCATGGCTGGGGTAGCAAATGTACGTGCAGGCTACTGAATAAACGTTCGCTGGGTATTTCCTAAAGGACAAAGAATGGGTGGCATGTGGTCTAGAAACTGAGTTGTATCAGAGCCCCTGGGAAGGCATCGCCAGCAAAGAGCCTGAGAGTCTGCAGCCTGGAACTGAAATCTCTCCTGCCTGGAGACCAAGACATCTCCTCTCAGCTGCTTCGGCCACCGTGTCGAAGATGAAGATTCTGACAACAACGACGCAGCTAACAGTAAGCCAGTGTCATGTGCTTACCACGTACGAAGCGTTATTGTAGGTCCTTCATAGGTAGTAATTCCGTTTTATTCTCTTGACAGGAAGTTCTCATTTTATTTCACTTTACAGATGAGGAAACTGAGGCACAGAGAAACTAGATAACTTGCCCAAGGGGAAAACAGCTAGTAAGTGGCAGAGCCAGAATTTGAAAATAGGATGATCTTTGTAGCTGGAGAAAACAAGGGTTGCTGGGATGGCAGAGATGCTGGCTCATTCACGGACTCCAGCGAGCTTTCTTTCTTCTTTCTGTGGTCATCTCAGAATTTATTCATTTATTCAACAGATCTTAAGGAATGTGCTCCGTGTCCGCGTTTTGTCCGCCACTGGTCTAGAGGTGGGCCTGTTACTCGGTTCTAGCCAAGATGGAAGAGCCTGCTGGGCCTTCTGAGAAAGACTTCCCACTGTGAATACCCCTCCCGGCAAAGGCCGAGAGAAGGACGTTACCAGGGTGCCACGCTCGCGGGTGCTGAGCGTTCCCTCCCGGGAGTGTGTACCCTGAATTTCTGGTTAGTGAGACTAACGAACCCCTCTCGTTCAGACCATCTTCAGCTGGCTGTTCTGTCACTCCATCATCCGAGGATGTTTCCTCAGTAGATCTTATCACTATCAGAAAATATCTGATTTATCAATTAGCTTTCTTATCTGCCTACCCTCCCCCCTTCTAGAACATGAACTCGGGACAACAGGGCTCTCACCTCCACTGTTCCCGGCCCTGTCCCCGAGCCTAGACCGTGTCTGGCAAAAGTGTTGGCAGTCTAAATCCAAACCAGAGGCTCACAGTCCAGGGGGAGACAAAAATCAAGTTATAATACAACCTAGCAAATGTCAGCCTAGAAGTACAAGTCCCGGAAGACGAGGTCTGCTTAGGAAGTGTGCCTTACTGTGCCTTCCAAGCCTGCCATAGCCAGTCTGGCTCAGACTCACCCCACCCCCACCCCCAACTTCATAGGAAACAGTAGATAACCTATCATTTTCAAGCTTGTTTTAAAAAGAGATCACTGGGGGGCGGGGGCTCTTGTTTTTCTTGTTTATATTACTTTATTTAATTAGTCTTACATTTCTCTCTTGTAAAATCTGTCTTTGGTGTAGCTGATTTATTTTATTATTTTTTAAAACCTCACCAGAAGATATTTTCTCATTCATCTTCAGATAGAGAAAGAGGGAGGGAGGGAGGGAGGGAGGGAGAGAGAGAGAGAGAGAGAGAGAGAGAGACATCGATGCAAGAGAGACATATCAACTGGCTGCCTCCTGCACCACCCTGACCAGGGCTGTGGACTGAATTGAAACCAAGGTACATGCCCTCGAGAGGAATCGAACCTGTAACTCTTTGGTCCACAAGCCGAAACTCTAACCACTGAGCCAAACCAGCCAGGGCTGTAGCTTTTTTTTTTTTTTTAATATGTTTTTATTTGAAAATATTTTTAGAGAGAGAGGAAGCGATAGAGAGATAGAAACATCGAGAGAGGGAAACATCAGTCGGCTGCCTCCTGCATGCCCCTCACTGGGGACCAAGCCCACAACCCTGGCATGTGCCCTGATGGGGAATCGAACAGGGACCTCTCTGTGCATGGCACGACACTCAGTCCTCTCTGTGCACGGCACGACACTGAGACCTCTCTGTGCACGGCACGACACTGAGACCTCTCTGTGCACGGCACGACACTCAGTCCTCTCTGTGCACGGCATGACACTCAGTCCTCTCTGTGCACGGCATGACACTCAGTCCTCTCTGTGCATGGCACGACACTCAGTCCACTGAGCCTCACTGGCTGGGCTGGTGTAGCTGAATTTCATTGAGAGTCTGCTCCAAGTTCTTTGGACTGAAACAGAGCAGGGCTGTATTTAAATCTACAACTTTTATGTCAGATCACAGCAAATGTGTTATCTGTTCCTAACTTTCAAGGGCACTACATTTATTCAAACTGTTTTGAAAGAAATATTCAATCCAAGGAGCTGTATTGTCAAGAATGGAAATAAAGGCACAGAGCCCTTGTTTTTAAAAGAACTTTAAACCAGGAAATCCTGTTTTAAAAGAATACTTGTGTTTTTGTTTGCCTTTAGGCTACTGTTTGGAGAGATGTTTTGGGAGAAGCTGTAGTCTTCTGCCTGGGTGGGGAGTTGATGCCACATGTTGGAGAGAGCCTTGTTTCCAAAGACTTGGTGACTTCTCTGCGCCTGGGACGCTTTGTGCTGGGTCCCGTGGGTTCGGTGCGCTCTTCCCGGGCAGCTGTTTACGGAAAGGACACGCAGCCCCACCCTCGCCCTCTGCTAACGGCACACAGCCGGACTTGGCTTTCTCATCCAGCACCAGCCTGCTAGCGTCCCTCAGGACAGATCGCTAGAATCATAATCAGATTAGAATATTGTATTTGGACGTGAATGTCCTATGAGCGTGAACGATGGAAAAACTCCTGAAAACAGAGGAGACTGTGTTATGACACTATTCTAAACAACCACGTAAACAAAAATGCACTGATGTTGGATTTTTGTGCTCTGATGTGATTGTCCAGGAATGTGGGGGCTGGGGAGGAAGGACTGTCCCTCGTGGGAGGCAGAAGGGTCCACTGTCAGTAACCCTAGGGAAGGGGACCTCTTGGGATGAGAGAGTGTGGGAAGGGAAACTCCTCCCTCCTTTATGGTCCACAAACTTGTTCTGTAATCATCCAGATAATACCTAGTTTAGGCTTTGCTAAATGTCAACCAAGCTCAAAAGCATCTGGAGCTTTGGCTAGAAATAAATGACCAAGATTTATTCAATGGTCTTGGGGTTTGCAAAGCAGAAACACAGCTAGACAGTACCTAGAGTGGGAAAGAATCGCTGAGGGTCTTACAATACAAAGTCTCTACTTGGGGAAAATCAGTTCTGTATCCTTAGCCCCCAGATTGGTTGGAGATGGTAATCATCGTATGTGTGCTGGTAATGACCCAATGTCCAGTGGTCTGGACATTGGGCCACGTCCTCCTTGAGGTCATCCAGATGGTTGCCTGGAGGTTTGCTGAGCATCCCGTCATGAACACACAACATGCTGATGTGTATCAGGTATTGACACAGAACTGGAAAGTTCCAAAGTTTAAGTTGCTCGAGTCACTTAAAACAAAAATAATTGTTTCCCTATGCCTCAGCCCACTTGAAGTTAAAGATTTAGCAGCTCAACTACAGTGACTCCGTTTTATTTCTTCACTGGACTCAGTTGCTGCCGCAACTACTCCGCTCTGGCATTACGGCGGGAAGAGAGCCGCAGCCAGTACGGAAATGAAAGGTCTCGGCTGTGCGTCAGCACGTTTTACAGCACAGGCAGCAGGCTGGCCTGGCTCCCGGGCCACAGTTCACCCCCCTGCTTCAGAGCGTCGTGGCGATGGTGCCTTGGAAGCAGAGAGCGCAGGACCCGTTACGGGCGTGGGCTCTGAAGACACCATTGCTAGTGGCAGCCGTGAGCTGGTGCCTGTCATCTCTCCGGCCAGCTCCTCAACTTCTCTTCGGGTCGAAGTCACGGCCGGGCTGAGGTGCGTTGTGGGAAGTGGGAAAAGGGCCTGGCTCATCCTTGGGACCCAGGAGCAAAGCGACGGCTGCTCTCGGCCTCACAGGAAGAGGTGGTGCCAGTGGGCCCCGGGAGAAGTTGGGGTCCCTGAGAACGCAGGGGTTGAAGAGGAAGAGAAGCCTGTTTGTGGGAGAGGAGGAGCAACAGGCCCCTAAGGAAACGAATACTGAAGAACTTGACGTTTCTCTATAGGGAGGTGTGGCTTGAGCCACCATAACCGAGATGCTTAACGAACATTAGATTTTCTTTATAATCACAGGTAGTGAAGACCGGACACAGAGCAGGTGGTCGACCAGTTGCTCCCAGGGTGACGCACCCGATGGCGACAGCCCTGTCCTGGACAACCCGCCAGGGCCGCAGCAGCCGTCGCCTCTCCTCAGCACACTGACCACGCCCGCTGGACGAGGCCTGAGTCAGCGGGGAGCCAGAGGAACCGCCTCCCTGTGCCCACAGGGGTCACGCAGATCTGCTCGGCTTCTGCCCCACCAGGAAGAACAGTCCTTCGTTGCCGGCCATGGTGGAAGGATAACGCTGCGAGACCACCTCGAGCTGCTGGATGGCGTAGCCAGCCTCCCTCACCGCAGCCTCCACGGCCGCCCGGTCCAGGCTGAGGCTGGAGAACCTCTGCTCACCGATCATGTAGTAGCTGCTCTTCAGCACATCTGCCATCACCAGGTAGCCCCCGGGCTTCAGCAGGCTGCTGAGGTTCCTGAGGGCTGCGCGGTAGGCAGGCAGGTCTGGGCAGGCGGCATCCAGGCACAGTGTGCTGAGCACGCAGTCCGCCAGGGGCAGGGACACGGCACCCAGGGGCTGGCTCTGGGTCACGTCACACTTCAGGACCTGCTTGACCGCCCGCCTCAGCTTCTCCTCCTTCTCTTGCCCCTTCGCTCTGAAACACAGAAACCGACACACTCCATTCCACCCCGCTCGTGGGGACCACAGATCTCTTTGCTCGGGGCTGAAATCACGGTGTTGTCCCGAGCGTTACATCTTTAGGGCCATCGCCATTGTAAAAGCAGAGAAAGAGAAACGAGAAATCATTTTTGTATCCGAAGGTGATCACATTACCCTGCATTGAGCTAAATCTCTTTATATGGAAATGAGAATAAAAATACGTAGCTGCCCACTTCTACACTGGGCTGCCCCATGAATGACTCTTCCTCCACTGCTTAAAATGGTGCCTGGCTCATTTATTATTATTTATTTGTTATTAATTGATTTATTATCGCCCGCGTCCCCTCCTCCAAACTGCAGGCTAGTGGCCGCTTGACCCATACGGATCAGGTAATGAGGAGGTTGAAATGCTGAGATGGTGTTTTGTAGTAGCTGTTGGTTAATGAGGGGAGTGGGGTCATCCACAGACATTTTTAGAAACTGTTGATCACTATCGTACCGCCGTGGCCAGGGCTGCTCTAGAGAGAAAACGACTAGTTATCATTCTCAGGCTCGGAAACACATTGCAGTCGAGAGTGTTTTCTGAAGGCGATCATTTTCTGACAGTCTTGCTGGGAGGCCTGTCCCTTCTGCCAAATCAGCGGGGCCTCTTGAGGAAAACCGGTAATGAGAGGCGCAGACAAGGCAAGGGCTGGAGATGGAAGGGAGGCCCTGGTCCTTCTGGAATTTATTAGGTGAGGAATAAAGAAACAAACTGACAAATTACACAGACACACAGAATGAACAAGAGGAACTGGAGAAACAGACGGAGGAGAAAGAAGCGGCATCAAAGCAGGGAGGCGAGGGAGCGGGAGGTGTGCCAGGTGCCAGGTGCCTGGAGGGCTTCAGAGCCCGCGAATAGGAGCAATGACTGGTATCAGCCTTTAGGGGAAGTTAATCAACACAGCCCCGGGGGTGCAAAGCCAGGCTCACATTCCGGGAACACATGGTCCCTTGGTTCCAGGAGAAGACAGTCACTTGGGCAACGGGGCTTGGTGGAGAGAGCAGAGAGTGGCCCAACATCGGAGCAGGTGAGAGAGAGGCTTACACTGGTACCATTTCTGATCATGATGAAAAGTCAGTGGTTTAAATAAAATTTGGAGGTTTACCTCCAGGTGGAATGATTCGAAATATTAGCAATTAGTTGTGGACATCCTATTTAAATATTTGGTTGAAATCGTAAGCCTGCAGCATATAATCAGTTTTTACAACTTCCTTTATATTTATGATAATTTTCTGTTTAAGAAGCTTAGCAGCCCTGGCTAGTTTGGCTGAGCAGTTAGAGCATCGGCCCATGGTCTAGAGAGACCTGGGTTCAGTTCCCACTAAGGGCACATACCTCAGTTGCAGTTTATCCCCGGCCCCAGATGGGGTCATGTGGGTGGAAGCCAGACACTGTGTCTCTCTCACATTGATGTTTCTCCCCCCCCCCCCCACACACACACACTCTATCTGAAGATAAATAAAAAAATGTCCTTGGGTAAGGATTTAAAAAAAAGAAGCTTAGCAATAAATATATGAAAAGATGCTCAACATCCTTGGCCATCAGGGAAATGCAAATGAAACTCTAAGATACTACTCCACACCCACTATAATGTCTATAATATAAGAGACAGATAATAACAAGTGTTGACAGGGAAGCAGAGAAACAAGAACACTCTGCTGATGAGAATGTAAAATGGTCTAACTACTTTGGAAAACCATCTGGATGTTTCTCAAAAGGTTAAACGTAGAGTTACCATATGACTCAGGAATTCCATTAATAGGTTTTTATCCAAGAGAAATGAAAACACAAAACTTTGTATATAAATATTTATAGTAGCACTATTCACAACAGCAAAGACAGAAACAACTCAAATGTCCATCAACTTGTGAATAAATAAAATATGGTATATCTATATAATGGACTACTATCCAGTAATGAAAAAGGAATAAACAATTGATGTGTGCTACAATAGGGAAACATCTGAAGCACACTATGCTAAGTGAGAGAAGCCAGGCACAAAAGGCTACATAGTATGTGATTGCATTTACAGGAAATGTCCTGAAAAGGCAAGGCGATAGGCTGAAAGCAGATCCACGGTTGCCAGGTGATGAGACCCACGGTTGCCAGGTGATGAGAGGACGAGGAATGGGAGGGGCTGCTCATGCACAGGGCTTGTGTGGGGAGTCATGAAAATGTTCTAAGATTGTGTGGAGGATTGCACAACTCTGTGAATACACTCAGAACTATCAAATTGCACACTCTAAATAGGTGAATTGTATTTTATGTGAATTTTATCTTAGTAAAGCTGTTATATTAGAGAGAGAGATTGAGGAAGAGAGATACAGAGAGAGAAAGCTTAGCAAGGTATAACTGTCAGGGAATTCCCACCAACCAATAAACGGGTATATACAGGGAATAATTACTTTTGATGAGCTCTACCTGCTCTCTTGTCACAGGTGAAATGGTGGTAGGGTGACCACTCTGTCTTGATTGGTCTGGACTTTCTGGTTTCTCACGGAAAGTCACAGATCCTGGGAACCCCTCTCAGTCCCGGGCAAAGAGGGAAAGTTAGTCATCTAAAAGGAGGGAGATCAGTTACTAAGCTGCAGAATGTGGATAGTTTATTTGACAGACCGTTTTGCAAAAAAAAAAAAAAAAAAATCAACATATGGAAGTCTGTGCGAAACATGGATTTGAATAGATAAATTAATCTACACTAGAAAAATTTCAAGTAACCTATTGGCGCATGTGGATAACTTAAGTGTACACAAAAAGGTAAGGAAGGGACAGTGTAGTGTATTTGTAATGTGTTTAAGGATTATCTTTTATACTGGGGACATTTGGGGAATGTGCATTTAAGTGATTAGGGCAGAAGCAGGTTGGACCTCTGTGGCCTTTGTGTATTAAGCTGTTTTAAAGACACAAGTCACCAGAGAACCAGTGCTTGGCAGTCAGAGGATGATGACAATTGTTCCCGAACTGTGAGACACACTGTGAAGTCCAGAAAGCTTACAGGGAATGTGCCAATTTGAGAGGGAAATTTGCTAGAAACACTCACGGCGGTGGATGTTTGCTTGTCCTTGGACTGCAGCAAACGCGGTGAACTCAGTTGCCAAGGCAGCTATGTAAAGATTACACCTCAGGGCTCCTCGGGCCTGCCAGGTCCCCCGCAGGGAAATGGACTCGCCTGGGGACACGCAATTACCGCTCAGCCGCACATGCAGCTCTAGGGGCAGCTAACAAACACACAGCAGAAAAGTGTTAGCAGTGTTGCGGAGAGCCACCGGTGGTGGGGCCATTTCTCCGGTGCTCAAGATGCACTTTCCGATGAATCGCGGCAGAAAGGGCGGCTCTTTCCTCTGTAAATAAGCTGTCTCTAAAAGCCAGGGGAGCGGGGAGGGAGGGGACGCACGGAAGAGAGGAGCCCTCCTGGGAAGGACACTTAGAAGAATGTCTTTCGTACCCCCGTCCTTACCCTGAGATTTAGAGGAGGTTCCCCCTGCCCGGCCTCTGCAGAGCTTACCCTCTCCAGGATAAGCTTTTTCTGTTGCACTCGCCTCGTCCAAACCCACCCCGAGGTTCCAGCTGGGTCTCCCGAGGGAGAAAACAAAGAGCTAAATATGCTGGGAGGGCGATGCAGACCTGTGAGAGCAGGAATAACCCCGGTGAACTAACCCCGGTGAACTTGTGGGGCAGCACAGCTGAGCCGGGTGAAGGTGTTTTAGGAGGGAGACTGGAAAGCAGACGCGTGCAGTCACTTACTTCACACACGTCCTTTGAACCTCTATTTTGTGCCGGGAAGAGTGCTGGGCAGTGGGTCCCCGAGGTGGAGCCAGTGAGAAACAGATCCTGTCCTCACAGAGGTTACAGTCTGGCCCCGGAGAAGCAATTAATCCAGTGATCATCCACAAAAATGAAAAAGCAAAGCTGTGGCGACTGCTGGGAAGGGGGGGGACACGGCACTAACGGGCGATGTTGGGAGCTTGAGTTGGTCTAGAGCAGCGGTTCTCAACCTGGGGGTTGAAGGACCCTTTCACAGGGGTCGCCTAAGAAAACACATGTTTCCGATGGTCACAGGAACCGAGACTCCGCCCTCTGTCGTCTCCGGGCGGGCCCGCCCACACGCAGATGGCCCCCACACAACATGAGGAGCTGCATTAAAGGGTCGTGGCATCAGGAAGGTGGAGAACCACTGGTCTAGAGTATCAGGCAAAGCTCCTCCACTGAGGGGTCAGGTGAACAGAGATAGAGAAGATACATACGTAAGAGTTGACTAGGCCAAGAGAGTATGGAGGGAAGGATATTCCAGCAGTAAGAGGACATAGCAAGTGCAAAGGCCATGTGGTAGGAGGAACATGAAGAGCACGATGCCCGTGAGGCTGGGTCTCGGAAGGCAACACAGAGCATGGAGGACAGTGAAGCAAATGGGGTCAGCAGGTGCCAGAGAAGCCGAGGCTTTGGGGACCATGTTAGGAATTCTGTTTTTTATCCCGAAAGCCATGGGAAGTCATAGGAGGGGCATGAAGTGAACAGATTTGCATTTTGAGTTGATTCATCTGGGGTGAGTGGAGGTGGGGGGCCAGTCGGGTGGGAGAGGACAGTAGCTTGGTCCCGGGCGATGGAAAACATTGGAAGAAAGATACTGGTTCAAGAGACACTCAGGAAGTGAAATAAAGCTTGGTGCTGGTCATGGAACCAGACTGAGAGGGAGATGGCAAAGTTGGCTTCCAGACTTCTGGTTCGTCCAGTTATTGAGGGTACAGCTCGGGGAGTCAGTCAGTACACCAGAAATGGAGCGGGTTTGGGGACGATCATAGCCTGATTTGGAGCACACTGAGTTTGAGAAGCTTTGAGAAGTGCCAGTAGACTGCTCACAATGTGAAGGGAATGACCAGTTGACGGTTGCCAACCTGCCCTGTTCATCTTCCCCACGCGATGATGCATAAGAGCACTTATTTAAGAGAAAAATA